CCAAAAGCTTGCTCAGGGGTTAAGACTAAAAGGCCTAGGGAAGACCCTTCCTTTTTATTGATTTTACTTCTTAAAGATTTCTCTTAGTCAGACGTTTGTCCTGGACCGGGATTCGAGGTCCTTGTCCAGGACATCCCAAGCCTTAGGCTCTGCAGGAAAGGGGCTTTCCCTCGAGCAGAGCCTATTTGCCTTGCCTATCGAGACGCTCAGACCAAAGGTCGGAGATCTCGCGGCGGCTGCACGGCTATTCCTTCAGCCGTGCAATGTCGTGAAGGGTTAGACCCTCACGACACTTCGAGTCTGACACTTGAGTGTCATAAGCGGTACTTGGATCCACGAAGGACCGCTTGATTATGGGCACTACATAGTACGTCATCGTTGCGACTGCATGCGTTCGCCTGCATTGCGGGTTGTTATGAGGTAGGCCCTCGGTTGCGCAGCTTTATATTAAAATCCCGCGCGCGATGTTTTACCGCCCTGGTGTGCAAAAAGTTATGGGATTGCAAAGGGACCGATACGTATGGGCGAATGTTTGAGATGGCTATAGGCCGCCAACGCGGCGCGAAAAAGGGAGGGTATCCCAGGGTTATGATTCTGTTTACTAGGCGGGGAACCTTCGGCCTATTTTCCTTTTTTTTTTTTTTTGCTCTTTGGAGTTTTTATAGTGGGACGTTATAGTCCGTGACAGCCGTCAAAGTCAAACCTCTTGATGTTCGACCGCCATGACATTTTAAAGCTGTCTACTCAACCCCTCTACATAGGGTGCTGAAGAGGGTGTGGTCTTTAACCGCGCATGGCGGTTGTCCAGCATCGAGAGATTAACCCTCAAGGCGCGTGTTAGCCGACACTTGAGTGTCGAACGCGACCCTCGCGATTAACGGGGACCGCGTGAGTATGGGTACCACATAGTACGCCTTTATTGCGATTCCTTGCGCGCATTTGCATTGCGAGTCGATATGCGATAGCCCTGCGTCCGCGCGATTTTATATTAARTCTCATGCGTAACGCCTATCCGAATTCCGCATTGGAAAGGTATGGGGCGGCTACCGAGGGGCTAGGAGCGTTGTCGCGTTGTTTATGTTGTGTTGTTTTTTATGTGTGTCTGTGGGTTTTTTTTTTTTTTGCGTTCGTAAAGTGGTGTGAGCGTGGTTCGTGGGATGCGTCCTAGTCGACTGACGACGAGCCGTGCTTGGGACTTCAGCCCCCCATGATGCCGGTTTGCGTGCGGGTCCGATAGATGTGTATTACCGCACGTACCCCCTATGCTACATCGAACAAGAAACGCCCTCCGCTGGTGCACCTCTGCGATTGCAACTGATTACCTTTCGTATTGTGAACCGGTAGCTCGGCGGGGATACGCCCACTGAAGGGAGGTGACAACTCCCATAAGGTGTAGGTAAGTCGTGCCTCGCGTAGGTCCTATCCTGTCGTAGGGCTCGCGAGAGGTATGGTTGGCGCACTCGGTCGGAGCGGCTTGGGGAAGCTCCATGTATATTGCGACGAAGGTTTTTTCTTAAACCAACTCCTGCGTGACGCAGCCGGGAGGGTCCCGCGCTGCCCTGATGCGGTGCAGGACCGATGCACGCGACAACGCATGTTGCAACATTGCAAAGCGAACCAAAAACGGTTTGCTCTCGCCCGGACAACAAATACGAAAGCAAATAGTCCAACCCAAGACGAAAATGTTGTTGGAACATCAGATCCAATACGGTTAGGATTAATTTAAGGATAAATTCAGAAGGATGATTATTTTCTACGGATTAAACCAATCCCATGGAAATCCACAGAATGCGATCATATCGAAGTATGGGGAATCCCGTACAATATTATTATTGATTATGAAGCCGCTAATTTGGCTATCTCTCTACGAGTAGTTGAAAGGGCAGGAAGAAAGAACGATCTGATCATGCTAGGGGAAAAAGATCAGCTCATTTCAGCAGATGAAGAAAAGATCAAAACGGTGGGACGAATGACCAATCTTGCTTTTCGATTGGGGAAGGTGCATGCGTTGGGAGATGTCGTAGTCTTAGACGTGAACACCTACGACGTCCTTTTTGGCCTTCCCGCTCTTGTGGCCTTGCGAGTTAATCTGAACTTCGAGAGGCGATCGATTGTCCTCCGAAATACGGGAGGAAAACCCTATGTTGTACCGATGAGACTGACCCTTCGTACCACCGCTAACATAACCCCACAAGCTTCTCCAATGATGGCGGGAACCCTTCGCGTAATCACCTGGCATAACCCCGCAGATGGTGAACAATCGCCGAAGGATGCGGACAATAGTGATGAGAATGATCCAGTAATTCTGGAGATGGCGCAACAACGTATCTATTACCCTGTGCAACGGGAGAATGGGAAACCACTGAGCCTAACTGACCGAAATCTACAAAGAACGCAAGCAATGATTATGGGTGAGCCCCTCGTGGAAATTTCGAGGATGGTGGATTCTTTGGAACCCCCTCGAACCCGGCACGAAGGTATCTCCCCTCTCCTCGCACGATATAACGACAAAAGACACTTCTGCGACATCACAAAACTCCCTCGATCTTTTTTGTCACCTGCAAAAGAGATACGATTGTTACGTTTAGGGGCAGAGACCAATTCTTTGGAACCCTCCGAGCGCCTCAAAACTAGAGTCGGAATCAAGATCGCAACAAAACACGTACCATGGCAGGACATTCGAGATCATGTAAGGAGGAACACGTGGCTATTCGGGAGCAGGACGCACATATGATGACCACGATATTCTCTTGGCAGTCGGATAATTCGTTAATTTTTGTACCCCCGTCTGGAAGCACTAAGCAAGTAAGTACGAAACAGATCGATGTGCGGATATGGGATCGGTTGTATGAGTTGCACGCGCCCCATTACATACCCGACGAGATCCATCACCTAATCGCGAACATTCTAAGAGAATACAAAGGAACGCTTAGTGTGACGAACACATACATCGGACTGTCGTTAGTCATACAACACGAAATTCGGACCGGAAACCATCCCTCGATCCACTGCAAGCCCTACAGGTACTCCCTGGTAGAACGGAAAACGGCCCTTCAGCGGATTCGGGAATTCGAAACTAATGGTTGGATCGAACCCGCCACTGGGCCTTGGTAATTTCCGGTAGTATTAGTGCAAAAAAAGAATGGATCGATTCACATATGCATTGATTATCGCAAGTTGAATGACATCACGATTGAAGATGTGTACCCCCTTTTCAGGATTGACGATTTGCTTGATGCGATTGGGTGTGCTAATTACTTCAGTAAATTTGATATTCGCCACGGTTTTCATCATATCCTGGTTAAGGTAGAAGATCGACTGAAAACGGCCTTTGTACTGTTTGAAGGCACGTGGCAGTAGGTTGAGTGTTCGATGGGGACTTGTAACGCGCCTGACACGTTTCAACGAGCTATGAACGTGACGTTCCAGAACTTCATCAACAAGACACGGCCAACTCAGGGGATGATAATCTTCAGCATCATCGTATACATGGATGACATCCTGGTCTACTCGGAGACCTATCACGGGCATGCACAACGTATCGAATGGACGTTGGGAGCTCGAAGAGATGCTGGATATAAGATCGCGCTCGAGAAGAGCAATTTTTTCCTCTCGGAAATTTCGTTCTTGGGCTACGTGGTGATACGGGAAGGATTGCGACCAAATTCAAGAAAGGTCGCGACAATGAAAGACGCCCCTGTCCCCACGTTATTGACGCAGGTTCAAGCTTTCTTGGGACTAGCATCGTACTACCGTCGTTTTATCAAAGGCTTCGCCGTGATTGCACGACCTCTAACGAACTTGCTACGGAAGGACCAGCGTCTCAGTTGGGACGCAAAGTGTGAACGGGTCTTCGCCACATTTAAGGACGCCTTGGCTACCAACAAAAAAATTGTGGGAAATTTCCATCAAGTTTTCAACTTGGGCACAACACTAGACCAACATTGGAACTACGTGAAATGATGTGGCCAACCGTTTAGAACGGTCGGGTCTATGTTTCCAACCGTTTACGAACATGCGGCCAACATGTTTTCAACATGCGTTGAACGTTGGTCCAACATGTTTCCAACACGTTTCCAACAAGTGTGTGTTGGAAAATTAGCGTTCTTAAGTTCCCATCAGTGCAGTTCACTAGTGCGTGGAAACGACGGTGGAAGCGACCTTATTTCACCTTTGTGTGGCCCGCAGTAGTGACCCGTGATGTTCTCGTGGCTGCGCGGGTCGCGGAGGTGCACGGTTGAGAAAATGGATGGGCGAGCTATGTAATGAGACGGAGGGGTTGGTTGAAAAAAAAAAAACACAAACGGGCAACAAATCCTCCCGCACGGCGAAATCTTGGTCGTGGCGGGAGCTGCGATCTGGTCATGGCGACGAGCAAATCCGGAAGGTGGTCGTGGACGGGGTCCGCAGTGCCACCCGTTAGAAATTGCGAAAGGAGGTCGTTGTGTGTGCGTGATCCCGTCTTTCGCGGTGCGCAGCATGGCGTGCTGGAGGCGACGATGACGACAACTGGCCCAAAAAAACGAAGGCGTCAACGACGAGAATAGAAAAAAAAAAAAAAAAAAAAAGCAAAAGACGAAAGCGTTACAAGAAAAAATAAAGCGCGACGAAACGCTGGCGACGCGTCCGGAAAACTTTTCACTCGTGAGGATGGCAGCACATACACGCATGCAAGAGGGCAGGAAGCCACGTATGATGCAGTATGCTCGCAGATATGGGGCCATGTCACAATGAGGAGTGACGTTCTGTCTGCCATGTACATTGGGGCCCGTATCATCCGTGAAGGACAGTTGCAGCAGCATATGGCCCCTGAAAAGTATGGTTATCGTATCCATTGGGTCCCAGGATGTTTGCATCCTGCAGTGGTTGATGACAAGGTGACGATGGCAGCAAGACTGCAATCAGGGCATTGGTTCCCATTGGGATGGATGCATACAGGCATTGTAGAGCATTGACAGTTCCTCGTGGTTCTGGCACGTGTCTCAATTTTCAATGTGAATGTAAAGGACCACATGCTGGTGGTTGAACACGCAAAGCGCTAAAGAGAGGAGGAGCGTCAGATGGTGTCACCGTGCGCGGGTTATGACTCCATGGCTGACAAGGGGATGTGGTCCATGGTTGAGGGGAGTTGTACGGCCCAAGAGCACGGCGACGGTCAGAACAGATACATGGCTCGCATTCGCCGCAGGCACGGTTGCACGACCGTTCTTGGTTGGGTCCCGGTCGTATGTCCCATGACATATGAGCATGGTGGAGACGTTACCATGAGATTCAGAGACCCGCTTGGTATGTCTTTCCATCTGACCTACTCAGATGGACTCCTGCGAGACATTCGGTATCTACCGAAGAATGACTTGGCAGGTTCAGTGCAGCCAGGCAAGAGGACAAAGAAGCGCTCAGAAATTTTCCGTTTGTCTGCTGAGGTGGAGGGCCCATGTGGTCCTGGTCGCGTCAGGGGGTGCTCTGCAGCACAGGGTGACATGGTCGGGCCGAGCGATGTCGTGATGTCGCAGAGCCCAGGGAAGATGAAGAAGTGCACGTCGGGACCGCCACGTGGGCAGACGCCCGCAGGCAGAAAGAAGGTGAACCCGAAGGCGGTGTCAGCGACCAGAGACACCGCAGGTGCACGAACTCAGGTCTCCAGACGCTGTCGACGCCCAGGGATGGCAACTTTGTCGGAAATCAAAAAGTTGCAACGATTCACCGACCTTTGCTTGGCTTTCAGGTCGTTCTTGCGTTTCGTGCGCGAGGTTGTGGAGCAGGACATTGCTCCGAGTATGGGCGTGAGGTTTCAGATGATGGCGGTGCGTGCTTTGATGGAGGTTGTCGAGGCGTACCTGGTCGCCAATTTCGAGAACACCAACGAGGTGGCCATCCATTCGAAGAGGGTGACGATCTAGGTCAGGGACAAGAGACTGGTGGATAGGTTGTCGAAGCCTCGCTGGGTTGAGAAATATCAAGGTATGTTGGACGAGAAGGCGAGAGCTGAGGAGAGACAGGAATGGATGGAGGCCAAACAGGCGGAAAGGGATGGCAACAGAGCAGGGGCGAAGAAGAGGAAAGTAGTGCCACGTAAGGGGGGGTCCGCGAAAAAAAAGGCAGCTTGAGAATTCTACTGTGTGTGTTGCGTAATGGTTGTCTTGTCGAATCGTGGACTCCGTGGAAGTCTTCGTGGTGTTAGGTGAGTTGAATAGGTAGGTAGGTAGGTAGGTAGAGAGAGAGAGAGAGAGAGAGAGAGAGAGAGAGAGAGAGAGAGAGAGAGAGAGAGAGAGAGAGAGAGAGA